TGCAGTTCCAGAGAACAGGACCCAGCTCACAATATTTATTCCTAACTGCTTGCTCTGCAGAGGATGGTCTTGCTGCTGAGATTTATAGACAATGAGAGAAGAAGCTTATGCCAAGTGAATGACTATAATTATTCACTCATGGTCTAAAGCTTATTTGGTTCTTGGCCTTCACTTCTGGTGTTACTCTTAAATTGCAATGTAACAAACGTAACAAACGGATGATGAACACAAAGCCAAAACAGAACAAAACTTCCCCACACCAAAATAAAAAATAACATTATCACAATACTGAAACAGAATCCATGCAATTCCATCCCTCATCCTTCATCACAATTACAACAGAAATTCCCATGATTATTCCACCAGCAAAATTCAGTTCATGTTCTGACCATCACCTCTCACAATTACTATCCTTTTCTCACATTCCTCTGCACCACCTTGGGCACCAGAAAGAACTGCGGTGGTTTGAGCGCAGAGGGCAATTGAGCACCACACAGCTGCTCACTCAACCCTTATCCCTCAGGAATGGGAAGGAAGATATAAAGCAAAAGGCTCAGGAACTGTGATAAGGATAGGGAGGGATGACTCACCCACTATGGTCACAGGCAAAAAAGACAGACTTATTAGGGAAGAAAAAAGAACATCAATTTAATTCAAGCACTAACAACAAAACTTAACAGACAGAGTAGGACAGTGAGAAGTATAATCACATCTTAAAAACACCTTCCTTCCACCCTTCCCTTCTTCCCAGTCTCAGCTTTGTTCCTGATTTCTCTACCTTCTTTCCCCCAGCAGTGCAGGGAGCAGAGAATGGGGGGTGCAGTCAGTCCTGCCTCTCCTTCCTTCTAAGGGTGGGAGGACTTCTTGCATTCTTGCCCTGCTCCAGCATGGGGTCCGTCTCATGGGAGACAGACCTCCACAAAATTTCTCAAACATGAGTCCTTCCCACAGGCTTCAGCTTTTCCTGAACTACTCCAGCATGGGTCACCCCCACAGTTGCAGTCCTCCCAGCACCAAACTACAAACTTATTCCCGCAGAGTCCCAGCCTTCTTCAGGCACAGTCACTTGCTCCAGCGTGGGGTCCTCAATGGACTGCAGGTCAGCATCTGCTCCACCGGTGACCTACAAGGGTGCAGGGGCACAGCCTGCCCTCTCACCACAGGCTGCAAGGGGGTCTGCTTCAGTGCACCTCCCCTCCTCCTCCTTGTTTTTTCTTCCACTGACCTCAGTGTTTGCATAGGTATCACCCTCACAACTCCTCCTCACCACTCCAACTGTGGCATGTGCACCCACCCAATGAAAATAGGGCTTCTTAGCTGCTGAAGCGTAGCAGCTCCTGACTGCCTTTGTTCTTGGGGCTTCATGGTAGTTGAGGCCTTTGGCCAATGGGAGCCGCTGTTGATTACAGGTCAGATTTGGCCTGAGTATAAATGGAATTCCCTGGGGAGCCATTTTAGAGCTCAATCCTTGGAGGAGTACACTGCAGTTGAGGACTCTCCTGTTGGGTCAGGACGCTGCCAAAGGAAACTCCTCGAGGGGCCTTGGGTCAAAGATGCTGCCTTGAGCAAGTCCTCCAGGTTGAGAGCTCTCACTTGTCAGGTGAGTGATAAAGTGTTTTGGGTTGTCATTAGACCCTTGGGAGTGGTGCTTTGTTCTGTGTTTTGGGTTGTCATTAAACCCTAGGAAGTTGTTCTGTTCTCCTCTCACAGACATTCAAACCTGTAGCTTGTGGAGGGCTAGTTAACTGTATTAATAATACATTTTTAATTTTTGGTGGTTGCTTGTTTATTTGAGAGCCTCTGTGACACCAAGTCCTCCTCCCAGGTTCTCCTTCTTAAATATGATATCACAGAGGCACCATTGCTAATTGTCTTGGTGTTGGCCAAAGGCCAAGGGTCTGACTTGGAGCTGGGGGAGCTTTGAGAAAATTCTCACAGGGGCCATCCCCTGCAGCCCCCTCCCCTGCTACACACACAAACCCAACACATGCCACCATCAAGGACAGCTATTTGTTGTGACCAGAAAGAACAGATAACACAGTTAACATTAAACTGAATTTTAAAATAAATGAAGACTATCTGCTCCCCTTCTACCCAGAAACACTTTCAAAGCCTACTTGCAAACTACTGCATATCAACACACTGGAGGGAAGGGATGTGCCATCCAGAGGAACCTTGACAGGCTCAAGAGGTGGACCCGTGCAAACCTCATGAAGTTCAACAAGGCCAAGTGCAAGGTCCTGCAAATGGGTTGGCGCAATCCCAGGCACAAATACAGGTTTGGCGATGAGTGAATTGAGAGCAGCCCTGCAAAGAGGGACTTCTGGGTGTTGGTGGATGGAAAACTGACTATGAGCCAGCAATGTGCACTGGCAGCCCAGAAAGCCAACTGTATCCTGGGCTGCATCAAGAGGAGTGTGGCCAGCAAGTGCAGGGAGGTGATTCTCCCCCTCTACTCTGCTCTCGTGAGACCCCACCTGGAGTGCTGTGTCTAGTTCTGGGACCCTCAACAGAAGAAGGTCATAGACATGCTCAAGAGGGTCCAAAGGAGGCCATGAGGATGATCAGGGAGATGAAGTTTCCCTGATGAGGACAGGCTGAGAGAGTTGGGGTTCAGCCTGGAGAAGAGAAGGTTCTGGGGAGACCTTATAGCGGCCTTCCAGTACTTAAAGGGGGCTACAGGAGAGATGGGGAGGGACTCTTAACCAGGCAGTGTGGTGATAGGACGAGGGGTAACAGTTTTAAACTGAAAGAGGGAAGATTTAGATTAGCTATAAGGAAGAAATTCTTTACTGTGAGGGTGGTGAGGCCCTGGCACAGGTTGCACAGAGAAGCTGTGGCTGCCCCCTCCCTGGCAGTGTTCAGGGCCAGGCTGGACGGGGCTTTGAGCAACCTGGGCTAGTGGAAGGTGTCCCTGCCCATGGCAGGGGGGGTGGAGCTTGATGATCTTTAAGGTCCCTTCCAATGCAAACCATTCTGTGATTCTATGACTCCAAAAATGCTACAACACAAGATCTTTGCTCTTGTATGTTAAAAATAGATTTATCAAAATTATCATGTGGGACTGTTACTACAAATGTGTCCCATATGAGTAGAATCACTGTAAGTAGGAAATGGAGGAAGAAATCTCACAGTTTGAGCTGTGGTATCTGTCTCACACAGTCAACACTTTAACTCCAGAGCCTTTGTATGTTTAAAAGCCAAGAACATGTTCTTTCCCATTAGAGACTTTCACAGAAATACCAGGGAAAGATTTTAACATTTTGGATTACAATTCTCAATGTAAAAGGTCTACAGTATTTAGGTCAGAGCACTTGAATGAGACAAGAGGGTCCGATGAAAAAATTCAGTCCTTTTTAACATGTAACATTGGTACTTCAGGGAATAAAAATACAGGAACGATCACAAAAATTGAACTAGGTCAGCAACATCTCTTTTCCTCTCAAACACTCATGAGTGTTGCCAGCTGGAAACTTGGGCTACATTATGTCACAGCAACCACAGAATAATTTTGTATCCTGTAATCATGTCTTAACTCTCAGCCTGGTGTTAGAGGTATTCTAATGTAGTGTGAGAGCAGCCACAGAGAGTATTTTGGTGGTGCTTTTGACAGCTAATTAGCATATTTCACTACTGTATTGAGTTTTACACTGTGTTGCATAAAGTTAATTTCACAAGTGTAGGAGAAAAGTATATTCTCCTCACTGACCTGTATATTGCATTGAAACATTTGCAGGGTTCTCTTGGTATATTATCAACAATACTTATGTGTAATATTTTTGCCTTCTTGTTTTTCTGTATGCATGGATAATATATAAAATAAGAGAGATTTTTAACATGCTAACTAGAGAGTAGCAAAATTTACTAAACAAAACTAAACTAGAGAGCTAACAAAAATCAGTATTATTTTCATGTTGGATCCCAGAAGTGAGTTTTCAAAGGCAGAAATGGCAGGGTTGCCTAAATCCCATAGAAATTCACTTATGGCACATTTATGCCTTTGAAAATCTGCAGCTTTGGAGTACAAAAGTCCGGAATCAAACCTGAAGGCTTTGATCCTAATTCCATTTTTACACAGCCAGCAAAGATATGCAGTTGTTCAAAGAAGACATCTACTTATTATAGAGTATGTTCAGGTCATAAAAATGCATTCACTCAATTCATAACAGAAAGTACTTAAGGACCTGTGTTATTTCACACGTAGGAATAGACTTGCCAGAGAAATTGCAGGTGAAGGGAAGTAAAAGTGTGCAAGGTACACAAGGTTTGAGGACCCTGGCATCTCATATATCAAGGTTTGAGTACCACTTAAGTCCTTTAGTGTGGCCCTCTATTATAACCTAGACAGAAAGAAAAATTTAGTCCAAACCTTACAGATGAACATAGTAGGTTTAATATTCAGATCTGTGAGTAACAACAGCAAGCTCCACAATATATCAGTTTTTCTCATTGTTTCCAAATCTGCTTGGAAGATTGATTGATAAAATTGTGTGAAATAAACCATCAAAGTACTATGGTGGCTCTTTGGAAAAGGAATAGAGTGTTATCACAGTTATTCATGTATATCAGGATAGTCCCCTCTCCCCAAAATGTTGACTTCTTTTTATAGGTGTCATGAATGCAAACAGGTTATAGCACACACAGCCAGAAGTATTCACAGATTATTTAGCACCCACCAAAAAACATCCATGCAGAAAACCCCCCAGGTTCTTATATTGTAATAGCATATTAGCTTTGCCTCAGCCCTAAAATACATCTCCTCTAGTGCTAGAGCTGACAGTAGCTGTAGGGTCAGCCTGCACCTTCTGTGTGTGCTGCAGAAGAAGAATGAAGAGTGTGTATGCCCAGGGGAGGAAGAGCTGAAGCAGGTGGGGGGAGGCAGCACCCTTCCTTCACAATGGAAATGCACACGCTTAGCATCAAAGTCCTGACCTGTGGTTCACATAACTACAATCACCTCAGAAGAAACAGACGAAAAGATATAAGGCTTAGAAACTGACCTGTTTTTCATTTTCATCCTCCAGCCTCAGCCTGTCCTCAATGCAGTTCCTGGCCTGTAGGAATGCCTTCCTCTGAGCCCTTTCTGTCAAAATCCTCACAAAGACCCCATACAAATTTACACTGACAAAAAGGATTGCATTGGCCACAAGCTGTAAGAAAGAAAGAAAGAAAAAGAAATGAATATTTTAAAATACAGATGTTTATTTTACATTTCTACTCAGCAAAAGTTAAAAAAAAGAAAAAAAAAAAAAAAGCACTCTTTAAAAAATCTGCCTCACTAGCCATGTCACTGATACTCCTTCCCACAATCCAACTGCAGTGAAACAATTACAGCAGCTATACCACAAGTCCAGGCAATCAGTACTGCATAATACAGAACTTTGCATCTGCTGAAGTTAATTTCTCTTACGATGATCTGTAATTTATCACTTTCATTCAGCTTCAGTTCTTTCATCAGCCCATTGGCAGATCTGTCCATCTAATAAGGAGAGTATCTTCAGCATTTGTTCAGTTGCGAGATGCCTGGAAGACTGAAATTATTTTCCTGTCTCTTTGTAAAGTAAGGATGTTGTTGTCCATTTTTTTATAGTTGAGAAGCAAGGCACTGACGAAATCTGTACCTAAATCAAAATGTGTGCCTAGGTACCCCAAGCTTTCATATTGTGCAGCCTGCACTTGGAAAATCTGCTTCTCTTCCCATATCTATACTGTTAGCAACCACACTGTATTGTCTGAGAAATCATTCAAAATATTGCTGATGCTATCCTGCAGCAGCAGACCTCTCAGAAGGTGCTGAGGGCTTTCAAATGATGGCCCTTGACACAAACCAAGCCTCACCACAGTGCTATAAGCAGCTTTGATGAAGGACACATAAATGACCCAATTGCCCTTCTGGGTTTTTAAAATGTTTTTACAATACATGATAAAGTTAGTTAACTAACCTAAATAATTCAACAGTGGTTTGCACACAATGTCCCTATCTAAGACAATCCTGTCCAAGTTTCTCACAGCATCTCTGATGTCTGAAATATGTCTTCAGATGGTAAATACTGCAATGTAATGCGGTGTTTATTTAGAAAGGAGGTAATAAGGCCTGTTTACTCAGTATCTTTTCAGTCTCATTCACCATATTTACTCTAGTTACTACTACAGCACCACGATAAGGATTCATGGGATTATAAATTCCAAAATTTCAGATAGCATCTGGCAGATTGGCCAAGATTGGGTATAATAGGAGCAAAGACAGACATTTACAGCAAGTAACACAATTCATGTTAAATTCCTATGCACCTAAAATAGTTCATAAAGACCATACAACTGACATTTTTTTCTTATTTCAAGGTATACATTTCAAGGTAGTACATCTCTGCTATTGCATGATCTGCTAGTGTAAATTGGAGACCACTGCCCTTGTTTGCACTGCATAGTGAGTCCAGCTCTGCCAACAACACAATGAAATTTTAAGAAAAATAAAACCATTGACATCGTTGCAGAGAATGCTTACTGACTAACAGGACTAGGGTTGAAGTCTTGAATTCAGTCAATATGGTAAGCAAAGATCCAAAATGACTTCTAGAAACTCCCTGCTGATTTTGGAGAGTCTTTGAGAAATGTTTCACCCTACAAAAATAAGAAGGAAGTTTCTGACGTATGTTACTAATGGCAGTGTACTTCTCCATCTCCTGTGATCTCAGTATAGTGGGGACAATCGAAAAATTCATTCTGTATGGGTTCTCCAGACCTTCGCAGATTTGTAAGTCCTCTAAAGTTTATCTTCGTACGTGGTTGTTAGTCAACAGGACATCAACAGCAACTTCCCTGCAAACATTCTCAGCAGTGCAAAATCAAAAGATACCCTGTGACAATAAAGGGAGCTGTACCCAGCATTAGTGCTTTATTTCTCCTCAGATATTCAAAGTTATCTCACAAGAGCTAACACCAGCAAAGAATGGTGTTATGGTTTCCCCCTGAGAACTGCAAAATGTGGGTTCAGGTGTCATCAGTCAGATGAATTTTAACCTAAGAATCTCATATACCAGTTACTTACATGTCACTTCTCAGAGATGGTAATACAGATGGTAAAACTTTGAAGATGAAAAGCAGTACACAAGCATATTATTTCTAGATACAAGTTGAGCATAAACAGTCTGCAGTTCCTATCCTGCTTTATTTTGATTCATCACAGAGAACTGTTTGATGTATATCAATTTTCAGCACAAGTTAAAGCTTACTAAAATGAAATTAGTGTAGAAATTCCAGTAGAAACCTATTTTTAGAGACATGAATGCATCTGCACTCACCTTATCCTGCGTTCTATCACGCTGAAGTGTAATGACAACAGTGTATTTTAAAGCTAATTCTGAGAAGTGCAGTGGAATAAAAATAGAAAGGATTTGTAAAGGCCATATTCAAAGGCAGTAGAGAGAGCCCACAGAATAAACAGCCAAGGCAGTTAACAGACACTGCAACTGCTTGACCCTGTCCACGTACAAAACAGCTGTTAATAACACAGGGTGAAAAACTAATACTATCTCTATGTGCTGATATCAGAATGGCCCAAGACATAAATAATTACTTCTAGAGAGAATAAAAAGAAGAGTCAACTCAGTTTCTGGTCTTCAACTGCAAGCAGTAATAGACCATATATTGTAACAATATGCCAGCTGTTCTGAGACTATCATTAGGATTTCACTGCAGCAATGGTGATCACCTGGACTGGGGGTAACCAGTAGGTGGGTTCCTGCAATCATGCAGCCACTTTCAGGCTCAGCAGGAAAAGTCATTTTCTGACATACTTTGAACAGTTTAAGATAAAACAGAGGCTTAGCTGTCAGCTCTGGCCTGCAGGGAATCAGGAAAAGTGATAAAGCAACTAAAAGATTCATAGATTTCAAAATGTGAGAAAAGAAAGTAGGGCAGATTGTCTCCTGAGGTAAGAGTTCCTTCCCTCCACAACCCCTTTTCTGCTTAATTACTCTTTTTTTTTTTTCCCAATTGAAAACTACATACACCTCTCTAAGCTTCTCAATACATGCTATTTCCTGGTCCCTTTCATTTTAAAACATAAATATGTACCTTTATATATACACACATACATACATATGTAACTTACATACATTATATGACATAACTCCAGGAAAGACTCAGAGACTTGCTGTTAAAACTAAAGATATTTGAAGAGATACTGAGGCATCCAGAACTGCTGAAATATCAAGGAATTGAATTTAAATAGTTCTTACGTTATTTACTATACTACTGCTTAGCAGCTATTCAGATCTCACCACCACCTTCTGTTTACAGATACCAAAGAAACAATTTACTTAATGCAACACAAAGTGACTCAAAAAAATTTTTAAGCTGCAACCTCTTTCAAGCAATGTTATTCTCTTGTTCCATAATGAGATTACAGGTCAGCCAGAATAAAAATAAAAAAAAAAAGGGCATCAGGGTCATGAAAGCCTTTTTTAAAATTTTTTTTTTAATTTATTGTTGTAATTTATCTTGTACTGTTCATTCTGCATATCTGCTGCACTTCAGTACCAACATCCTGAGCTTTAAGCTTCTCTAGTCCTTAGTAGGGGTACACTTTCTATCACTGGATGAACTCTGGCATGGTCCTTGTGCTGGCTCTAAAGGGTATTACCAAAGGCAGACTTCTAACACAGGAAGCTAGTTCTTCTGGTCTGCCTAGTCAGTGAAGAGAGACTGGCAGGTCCAGCAGGTATTTCAACCAAATTTCGGTTTCTCCTGGTTTTTGCCTCCATTGACTTTCTTGGGTGTCAAGTTAGTTTTTGTAGGGAACTCAAACTGCAATACTGCAACACCCCTGAAGAAGTGAACAAATAATTCTGGAGGTAAGAAGCATGTAACATGTACACACATATACAGGCCTTGAGCAGCTCAGTTCAAGATCTCCCTTTTTTCCCCAAGAATAATCTCCCACTTCTTGAATGTCTCTTGGGATTGATTGAGAGAGTCTCTGAAGAGTCCTTCAAAACTTTTCTTTCTATTCCAGATAGGATTTGTTTTCCACTTCTTCTTCCTTCAAAACAAGTATCCTCATGTGTGAACTTACTCTCTCAAACAAATGGTGAGAAAATTCTTCTACATGTTATTTGACTTTTGAGACGACTCCGCTTACTAAGCAGACTAATTCTGCTATCAGGTAAACAGTTGCATAGTCGATGGGTCGCAAAATTGCCTCAGAAAAATGTGGCTTTCAAAAAAGTGTAAATGACTTCTGGATCACTCAAAGACTTTTTTTACAAAGTGGCATTTATGTGAATGGATATTGAAATACCCAAATGAAGTAGACTAAATGAGAAATAGAAATTATCAGAGAAGAAAACTCCGGAGACTCCCTCAGAACTTCAGTGTGCTTTTTAAAAGCTGGGCTTGTGGAGTGAACAGAATTGAGATGGGATTTCAGGAGTTAGCACTCCCAGGATTGTAATTTAGTGGCTAATGTCAGTGTTTGGTTTATTCTCAGCAGCATGAGTTCTCACAGTATCCCATGAAGTATGGAAGAGTGGAGTATGTAGGAAATGTTGTCAGCATTTCCAGGTGAAGGCTGAAATTTGCAGAAAAGACAAGACAAATGTGGTTCTTGTATGACTTAACCCTCACATACCTGATAGAGGTATGGAGGGCCTAAAGTCTACTTCCAGTTTTCTCTGTTAATTGAATTTTACTGCAAGTAATTTCTGTGCCACTATTGTTGTTCCTGTTATACAGACAATGCAATATTTACTTATTCTGTCAAAATACTTTGTTACGGCAATGAAATGCATTATTGTAAAGTACGAATTGTCTGTTGTGAGGCATGCCTCTAAGGAAACAGTCAGGAACAGATTACCAAAGTGAGTCAGTGCTTCCACCATTAAAACTCTTGAAGAGCAGGCAAGACTGTGCTGTTTATGAAAAGTGTTGATACCATGAACAAGACCTTTTACAAGTTTAAACAAAAATAGTTTCTCTTTTTCCTGTTACGGAAAATGTTACTGTTACAGCAGTGCTTTTTTTATAGCACAAAACTCCATAAAAGAGACTGAAAAATTGCCTCTTGATCCTGACATGGTTTTCTTAAATTTAGTAATTCACTTAACTCACTTCGCAGCCTTTTGAGAACACTTAATTACTACATCTGCTCCCCCTCTTTGCTGAAGTGGCATAACACAGGAGCAGAGAACTTCTCCTTAATTACGATTGTACCCCAAAAAGCATGCCCTTCTACCAGAGAAGGCAGCTAAACAAATTTTCTCCACATTAAATAAATATATTCCCATTTTGAATAAGCAACCCTCTCTTATTTTTGTTAGTTCTTGTCTTAACTGGCTTATGACACATACTAAGTAAATATTGTTCTGCTGTGCTGTGGTTTGTGTCTTCATTCACACCCTCCCGAATCTACAGCATACTCTAAAATGGGATTAGTAACTAATTATTCCAGTGATAACGTGTTAAATGAGAGCAGATGTC